AGGAGATGGTGAGTTCTAGTTTCTCCTTAGAAAAGCTGGCTGGGTGACTTTGAACCAATCACTAGGAGATGGTGAGTTCTAGTTCCACCTGGGTGACTTTGGGCCAATCACTAGGAGATGGTGAGTTCTAGTTCCTCCTTAGAAAAACTGGCTGGATGACTTTGGGCCAATGACTAGGAGATGGTGAGTTCTAGTTCCATCTTATAAAAGCTGGCTGGATGTGTCAATCATTACTAGACAGAGAGTTCTAGTCCTGCCACAGTCATAAAGTCAGCTGGGTGACGTTGGGCCTATCACCAGGAGTTGGTGAGTTCTAGTTCCACCTTAGAAAAGCCGGGCGGGTGACTTTGGGCCCGTCCTTCTCTCCCCCAGCCCAACCCACCTCACAGGGCTGTTTTGGGAAAGAGGCTGCCTTGAGCCACACAACCCAAGCCGGGACACAAACCGAATTCTAAAACCACCCTCAAGAGACCAGACCTCAATAAAACAGACAGAAATCAACCTCAGACTTTCCACTACTCGCGAGAAACAGACAATCGGCTGGTCGCGGCACCAGCCACACCGCCCGAAGAAGCAAAGATCCAGTTTTTCAGGGGTCCCATTCTGGGTTGGGGGGGACCCCCTAACCCCCCAGGCCCCCATCCTGGCCGTGCCAGTCCCCCCACCCCCCGTGCCCAGCCCTACCTGATGCCAGCTTGGGCAGGTACTTCTTCTTCTGCTCCTGGGAACCGTAGAGCAGGAGACCCTTGAAGCCGATGGACTGGTGGGCGCCCAGGGTGATGCCCACACCCAGGTCGTGCATCCCCACGATTTCCACCATGCGGGCATACTGCGGGGCAGAGACACCCCTAAGCGCGTGCAGAGTTCAGCCCCCTTTGGAGGGCCGGCGGAGGCTGCCAATCTGGAAACAAGCCCCCCCTCCCCACCTGCAGGGGAGGGGGGTACGGGACCGACCTGGGTGTTGGTGAGCCCCAGGCCCCCCAGCGCCGTGGGGATCTGCAGGCCGAAGGCCCCCATCTCCTTCAGCCCTTGCATGGTCTTTTCTTGCACCTGGCTCAGCTCGTCGTTGCGCGACGGGTTGTTCACCTCCTGCGAAAAGGGGTGGGGGGTGGGGGGCAACAGCCTGCGTTGCTGGAGGGGAGGGGCCTGACCCCCCCCAGCAGCCCCCCAACCCCATAATCCCCCCCTACCTCAAAGAAGCGGGCGACGGGGCCCACCAGCTCCTGCAAAGTCTGCGTCTGCTCCTCGTTCAGAACTGCGACGAAACCAGAGGGGGTGTGTGTTATTATTCGAGGGGGGGGGGCGCGGGAGAGTCCTTGACTTATGACTTTCCGTTTAGTGACCGGCCGAAGTTTGTAAAAAAAAAAAAGGGACTTATGACAGGCCCTCGACTTATAAGCCTCCGTTCAGCGGCCATTTTGACGTGACAGGCAGTCCTCAGGTTACGACTGTTTCTTGATTGACCGTTCAAAGTTACGACGGCACGGAAAAGTGACTGAGAACCGTTTTTCATAGTTACAACCGTCGTAGCCTCCCCCCGTGGTCACGTGATCAAAATTGGGACGCTCGGCACACCTGACTCGTATTTATGACGGTCGCAGCGTCCCCTGGGAGTCACGTGACCTCTTTTCGCGGCCTTCTGACCAGCAAAGTCAAGGGGGGGGAAGCCGGATTCGCTTAACGAACGCGTTCCTCGTTTAACAACCGCAGCGATTTACTTAACGACCGTGGCAAGGGAGGTCGCAAAAGGGGGCAAAACCCCCTTAGCGAACGTCTCCCTTAACGACGGAAAGTTTGGGCTCGGCTGTGCTCGTTAAGTTGAGGACTAGCTGAACTTTTCAAACCGTGAGCTGGACCGGGCACTCCTGCGCACGCAAACGCACACTCGCAGACCCACAAACACACCTGCCCCTCCCTCCTTTCCCATCCTGCCCCATCCGTCCCCCCCTCCCCCTTTTTACCGGAAGGATAAGGGAAGACTTGTTCCGTAATGATCTGGCCCTTGAAAATGCCCACCGCAAAGGACTTGGTTTCCTGCAAGACGGAGAGAGGGGGAAAAAAAAGATTAAAGGGCTACTGATCCAGGGTCCTGGGTTCAAGTCCTGACAAGTCCCTCTTTCGGGCCCAGAAAAGGCACCGTCTCTTTGCTAGCGATCCAATTTCCATTCCCCAGATTGTAAAAACTAAGATGGCGATGCCAGCCCCTCCCTCTCTGCCAGACATCACCCAACCCTCCCCCACGACCCCCAATCTCTGTGCAGCCCCCACCCCATTTTGCAAAGTGCCCCAATCTGGCTTAGGCTGCCCCCCCCACCCCCTGGGTGTGTGTTATCCCCAGCCCTGTGTAAGTTTATTTTTTAAATACAGCTATACAGGCAGTCCTCGAGTTACGACAATTGAGAACAAAATTTCCATTGCTAAGCGAGACGGTCGTTAAAGTGAGTTTTGACCCGCTTTATGACTTTTCTTGCTACCGTCGTTAAGTGGATCGCCGCAGTCATTAAATTAGTAACCCAGTCGCTAAGCGAATCCGGCTTCCCCCGTTGACCTGGCTTGTCAGAAGGTCGCAAAAGGGGATCACGTGACACACACACACACACACACACACACGGACGGGACGCTGCGACCGTCAAAAATAGGAGTCGGTTGCCAAGCGTCCGGATTTTGAACTCATGACTGGGGGGACCCTCCGACCGTCTTAAGTGCAAAAAATGGTCGTTAAGTCTCTTTTTTCCCAGTGCTGTTGTTAACAGTCGCTAAACGAACCGTTGTAAGACGAGGACTGCCTGTGTTTCGGATCAGAGCAAAAGGGCAACAGCTTATTGGATGTTGTCCAAACCAGAAAACGAGTTTCGGGGTGACTATTCCCTTGACCTCAGAAACAGCCGACACCCGAAAGGGAGGAGGTATTAAATTAATAATAATAATATTAAGATTGGAAAATTGTAGGGTGTTTGCCCATGAAAGGGCAGGAGTGAGTTTTGGTTTGTCTATTAATCAAGCAGAGAAGCAACCTGGAACGAAGGAGAAATCTCCTGACAGTGAAAACAATTAACCAGTGGAACTCCTTGCCTCCAGAAGCGGTGAATGCTCCAACACTGGAAGTTTTTAAGAAGAGACTGGACAGCCATTTGTCTGAAATGGACTATAGGCTTTCCTGCCTGAGCAGGGGGTTGGACTAGATGACCTCCAAGGTCCCTTCCAACTTTACTACTTCTATTCTATTCTATTCTATTCTATTCTACTCTATTCTACTCTACTCTACTCTACTCCATTCCATTCCATTCTATTCTATTCTGTATTCTATTCTATATGTTATTATTCTATTCTATTCTATTCCATATTTTCTATTGTATTCTATTCTATGCTATTCTATTCTGTATTCTATTGTTCTATTCTATGCTATTCTATTCTATTCTGTTCTATTCTGATCTGTTCTATGCTATGCTATTCTGTATTCTGTTCTGTTCTGTTCTATTCTGCATTTTATTCTATTCTATTCTATTCTGTATTCTGTATTCTGTATTCTATTCTATTCTATTCTACATTTTGTTCTGTTCTACTCTACTCTATTCTGTTCTCTCTGCCTTTCCTTATCCAACTTGGTGCTTTTTTGCATCAAAATTGCTCCCCCCAATATTGCACCCGTGACCCCAAGAAGGGAGAGGAGGAGGACAAAAGACCACATACCGTCGGTAGATGCTTTTTCCCCAATTCTTCTTGGGGCGCTGACTCTGGCTTAAATCTGTGCTTTTCCGGGGCGGTCTGCAAAAGAGGGAGACAGCGTGACATTCCTTGAAACTTATGGGGTGCTCCCTTCATCCCAGGGGTTTGCGCGCGCAACAATGCACAAAAATGGAAATTGGGTGCCATATTTAATAAAAGCGGAATTTGGATGCAACGTTGCCTATGCGTAGAACTGGGTACAAATACGTTGCATAAAAGTGGAATTTGGATGCAACGCTGCAGAAAAGTGGAATTTGGATGCAACGCAGCAGGAAAATGGAATTTAAATGCAACATTGCAGGAAAATGGAATTTAAATGAAACATTGCAGAAAAGTGGAATTTAAATGCAACGCTGCAGGAGAATGGAATGTGGATGCAACACTGCCAAAAAGTGGAATTTAAATGCAACGCTGCAGGAAAATGGAATTTAAATGCAACATTGCAGGAAAATGGAATTTAAATGCAACATTGCAGAAAAGTAGAATTTAAATGCAACGCTGCAGGAGAATGGAATTTGGATGCAACACTGCCAAAAAGTGGAATTTAAATGCAACGCTGCAGGAGAATGGAATTTAAATGCAACATTGCAGGAAAATGGAATTTAAATGCAACATTGCAGAAAAGTAGAATTTAAATGCAACACTGCAGGAAAATGGAATTTAAATTCAACATTGCCAAAAAGTGGAATTTAAATGCAACGTTGCAGAAAAGTGGAATTTAAATGCAACGCTGCAGGAAAATGGAATTTAAATGCAACATTGCCAAAAAGTGGAATTTAAATGCAACGTTGCAGAAAAGTGGAATTTAAATGCAACGCTGCAGGAAAATGGAATTTAAATGCAACATTGCCAAAAAGTGGAATTTAAATGCAACGTTGCAGAAAAGTGGAATTTAAATGCAACGTTGCAGAAAAGTGGAATTTAAATGCAACGCTGCAGGAAAATGGAAATTGGATGCAACGCTGCCGAAAAGTGGAAATTGGATGCAACGCTACAAAAAGTGGCATTTAAATGCAACACTGCAGGAAAGTGGAATGTAGGTTTTTGTTTTTTTTAAGTGAACAAGGTTAGGATGGAGACAGGTCACAGCCGGGACAGGTCGTCAAGCTGGCTGGCCACAGCATGTGGTGTAGCATGATCAGCTTTTAAACCCTCATGCGATTAATCCGGAACAGCCATGCCCCAGGTGGAGGGATTCCAGGGCCCCATAAATAGGCTGTAAACCGTCTGCTTATTTCATTTATTTCACCCTCAGAGGTGGTCCTCCAACTTACGACATTAACGGAGCCTGTCCACCACAGTCACGGGTCTTCCCTGTCCTAAAATGCGTAGATTTTACGACCTTTTTTTTTGGTGGTGGCAGTTAAACTCCCCCCCCCCCGTTGTTAAGTGGATCCTTTGCTGTCTCTTTCCCCCTTTTAGCCTTCTGAATTCTGAAGTTTTACCTGCCACTTTTAAGTTTCCCCGTGTTTTGAACTCAGCTTTCATCTCTGGGCGTGTTGAGTCGGGTGTTTGTGTGGTTGCGTTAGGCTGTTTGTAAACAGCCCTAAATCACCTCGGGGTGGATGGGTGGCACAGGAACCTCGTGAACAGATGGATAAGTAAACAGGTTTGCAATTTGCAAGCCTCCCCCTGCCAGGGGAAGGAAGGAAGGAAGGAAGGAAGGAAGGAAGGA